CTTTCCTGACTTCTTCCTTATTTTTCTCAACTCCATTGTAAAGTGTTTTAACACATTTTGTAATCATTTTTCTGAATTCCTTCTTAGGCATTTCCAAGACCTGCCCTCCTTCCAGAATGGAGTCCAGGTCTACCTCTAGGTCATTTGTCTCAGACGTTTTATCTTGTTTCTGGACGTGTACTGATATGGTCATCTGCTTTTACTTCTTGGACATGTTTAGTGTTTATCTTTGGTCTTAATACTTAATTGAGTATGTGTTTTGGTATTTTTTATGCTTTCTGATTGCTTCCAGGAAGATGTGATCAAGATGTGGACTACCCTTTTCACACTTCTTATTGCTTAACTCAGAGTAACTGTCACAGGTGTTATCTCCCTCCCTGGTATATGGTAATTAATACTGGTTCTCGCCTGGGTTTTGATGTTTTATAGAGTGTGGTTGTAGCTTGACTATATATGGCAGCAGTTGTTGTCTCTTTGGGTAATATAGGGAGAGAAAGAGTCCCCCAATGGTAGAAGGGGGAACATACGACAGCAAAACAGCACCAGAAAACAAACAAACAAACAAAAAAAACCCTGAAAAAAGCAACAACAACAAAAAAGACAAAACTAGACTGAATACTGTAGTCTGTAATAGTAGAAAACGGAGAGGAGGGAGAGAAAAAAAAAAAGTCTGTAGCCTAATATGAGTATGATTTTAATGTCCTCTTTTCAGCTTCTCTCCTTCAAAACTGCCTGAGAGATTTCAAGATGCCCCTGTTTGCTATTATGGTGAACCACAGGATTTAATTTAATTTTTGGCCTGTTTGTTTTTAAATTCTCTTTCCCTCTGTACACCCCTTTCCTGGCCTTTCCTGTATTTAAAAAAAAAAAAAGCGTTTTTGGGGCCGCTCTTTTTTTGTGAGTGTCTGTGCATATGCGAGGCAGAAGAACCCACCAGTGGTGACGGTGGGGGTGTCCACTGTCTCTGGCACACCCTCTAGTCACCAGAATTGAGGTGCACAGACAGTGGGGGGCTCCAATGAACAGATACCAAAATAAAAGAAAATCAGAACAAAGCAAAACTGACAAAGTGTATTGTGATCTTTGCTCCGAGGTTCCCATGGCGTTTTTCCATGGTATGTTTACTCCCCTGCTTGGTCTTGCCATTTAGTTTTGCCCAAGTTGTTGGTTCACAAATCCTGACAGATTCAAATATACGCAATTTCTTACTTTTGCTACAAGTTCCACTAGCTATAAGCCTTCAGTCATTTTACGTTTTCCTATCTCTGTGCTTTTGAGTTTTGGAAGTCTGCCCTGGATCTGCTTTGCCAGGTATTCTGTGGTATCGCTAATAGTGAGCATCACTGCACCTCCACCCTAGCTGCAATCTACCTGCTTTTAAGATTTTCTCTATCATTAGTTTTGAGCAATTTAATTATAATGTGGCATGTAGATTCCTTCATGTTTCTTGTGCTTAGGGTTTGTTGAGAGTATTAAATTTGTTGCCTTACTCCTTTTATCATATTTGGGAAGATTTCACCTATTGTTTCTTCAGATGTTTCTTTATACTCCTTTGCTCCTCTTTTGCTCCCTTAAAAATTTAGTCTTGGAAACCCTGAGGGGTAGTTCTACCCTGTCCCATAGTGTTGCTGTAGTTGGAAGCAAGTCGACATTAGTGGGTTTGGCTTTTGATTGATTTTATTACTTCAGAGACTCCAGGCACACTTGTTTTATGCTGTTGGGGAAGTTCCACAGCTGACTGATGCTCTCTGTTCATTTCGTCTTTTTTTCTCTTTGTGTTACATGGTGTGTAGTTTTCATTGCTATGTCTTCAAGTTCATTATTCTTTCTGGTTCTAATGCTGAATCTGCCATTGGTATGCTGGTGTGGTGCTGCAGAAACTGGACTGCTGTCAGATAAGTTGGTGATACAAATCCAGGGCAAGAAAGCAAAGTTTGCCGAAGATCAAGGACAAGAGAGCAAACTTTTCCAAACCAGCCACTCCTTGGAAAAGCTGCCCAAGATCACTGAGTCGGAACTAACTTGACAGCATCGAACAGCAGAAATCTGCCATTATTCCCATTCATTATATTTTCACTCATACATGTGATTTTCATCTCCAGAAATTCAATTTAGATGTTTTTAAACCTTTCATTTCTTTACCTAAGGTTTTGACCATCTGGAATATAGTTCTAAAAACTGCTGATTTTACCATCTGTGCCAGTTCAGGATTAGTTTCAATACATTGCTTTTCTTGCTTCTTTGCCTGCCTGTTAATTTTTGACTGGACACTAATATTGTAAATTTTATGTTGTAAAAAAATAAGAAATTATTTACTGTCAAGTTGACTCTGAGTCATGGTGACTTCATATGTGTCACAGTACTCCATGGGTTTTTACTAGTTGACTTCGGGAATTAGATTACCTGGTTTTCTGCTGAAGTGTCTTAGGGTAGACTTGAAATTTCCAACTTTTTAATTCTCAGTCAAGTATGGTTACTATTTGTATTCCCAGAGACAACACATTTTACACTTCTTATTCTATTCCTAAGGAGCTCTGGTAACATAATGGTTATGAATCAGGCTGCAAACCTCAGGGTCAGCAGTTCGAAACTACCAGCTGTTCCACGGAAGAAAGATGAGGCTTTCTTCTACTGTGAAGATTTATAGCCTCGGAAACCCTGTACAGGGTCGCTATGAGTCCCAACCGACTCCACGGCACATTACAACAACATTCTATTCCTATAAACACTCTTGAGATTTATTCTGAGACAGCACTCACAATTTGATTCTCTGGGTTCTTTTAAGTGCTGTTGAGTTGGTTCTGACTCATAGTGATCCTATATAGGACTTCCAAGGAGTACCTGCTAGGTTTGAACTTCCAACCTTGTGATAAAGCAGTCCTGCTTATCCTGCACTGCCACACTAGGATTCCTTAAGACTTATTAAGTGGGGTAAAAGAAATATTTAGTCTTGTTTGTTGCTCACTACTAAGCCAAGAAAGGGCACTAGTAGTGCAATGGTTAAGCACTCAGCTGCTAACTGAAAAGTTGGTGGTTTGAACCAACCATGGGAGAAAAGATTTGGCAATCTGCTTAGTAAAAATTGTTGTTGTTAAAGTGCTGTTGAGTGGGTTCCAACTCATAGCAATCCTATATAGGATTGCCAAAGAGTGGCTGGTAAGTTTGTACTGCCTACCTTGTGGTTCAAACTGACCTTGCAGTCCAGTGCTTTATCCCACAGCGCCATACCAGTAGCTCCTCAGAAACCCAGTACTAGGTCCTTATGAGTTGGAACTGACTCGATGGCAGTTAAGAGCAAAAGCAACAACAACATTCATGATTCTGGTTGTGATAGAAAACCAGTTCGAAGTCTAGAGTACAAATACAAATTCTCTGCACTAGGTCAAACCAGAATGAACGTTTGAAGTCAAGATATTAGTGGAGTAGGGATATGAAGGTCATCCCCGTGGACTTTGAAGCCACCTCAATAGATTTGGGCTAGAGAGTAAGACTTTCAACTAATAGCCGAAGTTGTGAATTTTTCATATTCTGCTTGTTTTATATGGTTTGGTAGGACAATAGTATGTTAAAGTTACATGATTTTGTACTGCCTTTTCTTCTAGAACCTTCTGATAACTTAAGGGAGATTCTCCAAAATGTGGCTAAATTGCAAGGAGTATCAAATATGAGAAAGCTAGGCCATCTGAATAACTTTACTAAGGTAAGTAACTTGAATCTTTATTTATTAATATATCTTCTAAAATTCTTTATTCTTATTAACAGGAGAAAGATGAAATTTTCTGCTTCTGCAAATATTTACAGCTTCAGAACCCTATATAGGGACATATGAGTTAGAACCGACTCAGTGACATTTAACAGCAGTACTTACTAAATGTTTCTTCCATCATTAGCTCTTGCATGTTTACTCAGTGTTGGTGCTTTCTTTACCACTTTCATGGACTTTGTCATCGATTTAAAAACTTTAAATATACTAAATACAAATATTACATATTTGTTTTAGAAAGTTTGGTAGGTTCAGAAAGGAGTAATGTTTGTGTATAAGTACATGTGTATGTTACATTTCACAGATGGAACCATATCTCCCAGAGGAATATTAGAAAAACTTCTCCCTTCCCATAATGTTCTTTTTCCCATTACCTGGATCTGGATTGTATAACTCAAGATAATTGTGGGACTTTAGTCTCAAATAAATGCTGACTTGGTCTAGTCCCAAATTTTATGTGTGGATTGGCATGTTATTGAGCCTGGTCGTAGTGGACAGTCACTTCATATAAACACTAAAATGCCTATTTTTTTTTCTTTCCACTTTGAAGCTTACTAGATATAAATTCTTCTGTTACATTTTTAATGTAAGGAAAATTTTATGTTATAACCCCTCGCTACTCAAAGTGTAATTCTTAAGGTTGGGATGACTACTGAACTTGTGTGAAATGCTCTATTTTAGGCCAGACTTGTGGAGTAGGAATCCTTGTCTGAATGAAGATTCTAAGGTGAATTTGTATGTGCATTAGAGTTTGAGAGGCACTTTTTAGATCCTTTCAAAATTTCCAGTATATTGTGGTTGAAGAGTGGTAGATGCTTGAGTTTTTTTCCCCTATAGGAACAAAAGGGAAGGAGCATATAGACACTATATAGCAAAATTATATTTTCATTGTGAGGTAAACTCTGGGCTAACAAGGATCAGTGAAATGAACTGCTCCTTGGGAGAAAGATGTGACAGTCTGCTTCTGTAAAGGTTACAGCTGTAGAAACCCTCTGGGGAAATTCTTTCTATTCTATTCTGTAGGCTTGCTGTCAGTCAAAATTGAATCAATAACAATAACAACACTGTGTACTAAATATAAAATGAGAATGTTTTTTGTTTTGTTTTCTTAGTAAGGAGATAAGTACATATTCATTTATTTTTCCTTAGTGAAGTTTTAAAGTATTAGTGCATTTTGTGTAAGGGATGAGAAAATGCAAGGAGTGATTTTTTTTTAACAACTCAAAAACATTGAGTAAATGCTTGCTAAAAATGTCTGTGTATGGAATTTCTTTTTTTTTTTTTTTTTTCAATGTAATGAACTCTTCAAATACTGTTTTTCTCTCACTGTGCTAGTTAGATAATATTAAGTCTTTAAAACCCAAAAAGTTCCAAGAATCTTGGAACTCCTGGTTCTACACCCTTCTGTTAAATTTCCTAGTTTAACTTCTCTGTTCTTTACTCAGCTCAGACTTCACTACATGCCTAGTTTTGATTGTTAAAACAATTTAATAGTGCTCTGTGTTCTGTTTAAGAAGCCTTGGTGGTGTAGTAGATTACAAGCTGGGCTGCTAACTGCAAGGTCAGCAGCAGTCTATCAATTGCTCCTCGGGAGAAAGATGAGGCTTTCTGCTCCTGTAAAGATTTAAGATCCAGTGCAGGGTCATTATTAGTCAGAACCAACTTGGTGGCACTCAACCACTACCCACCATTATGTTCTATTTGAATTCATGGTTGCTCTCATAATCAGAGTTGGGTTTATAGATCCACATCTCTTGCTAACTGAAACTAGCTGGTTCTGAAAGTGGGGGACAGGTTAAGAATGGCTGTGGTTTTCTACTCTTTGGCACCAGTGGCAGTCCTAAGGCACTCTTGACAATCTAGAGCAGTACCATTGGTAGAAATATAATGCAAACTACATAGTAATTTAAATCCTCTAGTAGCCACATTTTAAAAAGTAAAAAAAAGTGAAGTTAATTTAGAATAATGTTTTATTTAATTCAGTATGTCAAATGCTGTCCTTTAGTGTGAATGTTATTAATGAGATATTTTATTCTTTTGTCAAACAAAATCTTTGAAATCATGTTACAGCACATCTCAGTTCAGACTAACTACCTACCGTTCCAGTGTTAATAGTTATCTGTGGCTGGTGGCTTCTTATTGGACATTAGAGATACTGAACTTTTTCTTAATGGTACTGGTTTAAATCTCCATTTCTAGAAATCTCCGTTTGTTTCTGTCTAGTTTCTAGGATCTCTAGATTAGGTTCAGCTCCATCCTGCCCCCTCTCTTTCCTTCCTACATTTCTTTGTTTCTCTGTCTGTATCTGAATTTATTCTGCAATTTTTCACTGAAGTTATTCTCTCTAATTGGTCTCTCTCCCTTTTAATTTTTGCTTGCTTGGTCCTTATTTCTCCTTCTTCCTCTTCTCTTTCTATCTCAGCTTCTCACCTTTATCTCCTCTCTCTTTTCTGTATCTTTCCATCTTTCCTTTGGCGTTTCCTGATCTCTCCATCTTTTTTCCTTTCCCTCTCTCATTCCCTTCCGTTTCCTATGAGTGCCCTATTTCTTTATCTCTGCTCCTTTATTCACTCTCCTTCCTTGTCTCTCCTTTTCTTGGTGTGGGGAAAACAGGCAGAGCAGCAGTCTTTCTCTGTTATGACCTAATAACCTTAGCCAAGGCAAGTATATATATAATAAATACTAGTCACAGGTGACTGTTAAGGAGCTCCGGTAGCGTAGTGGTTACGAATCAACCTGCAAACCGCAAGGTCAGCAGTTCGAAACTACCAGCCCCTCCGCGGGAGAAAGATGAGGCTCTCTCTGTTCTTGTAAAGATTTACAGCCTCGGAAACCCTGTTGAGGGTCCCTATGAGTTGGAACCAACTTGATGGCACTTAACAACAACAACAACAGGTGACTGTTGGAGTCTTGTTGTGGCACTGTAGGATAAGCACTGGACCAAAAGGGTGTTTGAATTGTAGTGGTGGTTTAAACTTGTCAGCTGCTTTTTGGAGCCCTATAGCATTTCTGTGAGTCGGGACCAACTCAGTGGCACTTAAAACAACAAGAACAACAATGAAGCCATATTAGTTGTATTTTAGAAACTCAGTGTTTCCAGAATAGCATATGTGTTTTCAACATTCCATAGTTTTCAACTTATCTTATGCTTACAGGTGCTATTTTATAATTATTTTCTTATGGTCATGTTTCATGGCTTGATGCTCCATGGTTTTAAGATTTCTTCCATATCTTCTCTTAGCAGCTTATTTCGTCAAATAGAAAAAATAGTCTATAAATACTTATGAAATGATCTATAATATTTAATACTGTCTGTAATGTTTAAAGGATCATTTTCTTCAACTTGTTTAATGTTAGGATTATGATTTTTTTCATAAGAACTACTCTGGTACATAAAATGATGGCTCTCATCTCTCTTCGCATGACAGAAGTTTTAAAATGAATACTTTCATTGCGTACTTATATGCCAGGTGCTATCAAAATCACTTCGTGTCTTATCACATATAATAAAGTGACATATCTCCATTTACTATGTAGGAATTCAGTAGACTGATATAAGTGAAAGTTGAACAGCTGTTAAGTACTGTAGTCATGATTTGAGTTCGCACATTTAGACCCCAGAGCCTGTGTTCCCAATACTATGTTATACTGCCTCTCACCCAAGGCTTTCTAGATAAGGGCACTCACTTTTCAACTTTGTCTTTGTTTTCAGCAATTATATACTGTAAAAACTGTATATGGTATTTAGATATATACAAATTATGTATATAACCTTAGCAAGTTTGTTATTATATAGTTCAGTATCAGAATGACTCCACCACTCACCTGTCAGTTTGTCGTACTATGGTGGCTTATGAGTTGTTGTGATTTTGGAAGCTATGATTTTAAATGCCACAGGTATTTTAAATACCAGCAGGGTCACCCACGGTGGACAGGTTTCAGATGAGCTTCCAGATGAAGACAGACTAGGAAGAAAGGAGACAAACTACTTCCGAACATGTAGTCACTGAAAACCTTATGAATAGCAGAGAAACACTGTGAGATATAGTGCTAGAAAATGAGCCCCTCAGGTTGGAAGGCACTCAGAATATAACTGGGAAGAGCAGCCTCTTCTAAGTAGAGTTGACCATGATGATATGATTGGAGTAAAGCCCACTAGACCATCATTTGCTGAAGGGAAACAACTCAAAATGAAGAGAAACAGCTATAAACATCCATTAATAAGCAGAACTGGAATGTATGAACTATCTAGAAAAACTGGAAATTGTCAAAAATGAAATGGAGTGCATAAACATTGATATCCTA